CAATTGTCAACACAGATCAATGCATACCGCAAAGCAGTGCAAATACAAGCTGAGTCTTCTGATTTTAGTGTCTAAACAAACTAGATCCAGACTCGATCACAAAGAAGACCACTATCGGGACTACGATCGGGTTCAAGTCCTGCTTGGAAGAGGAAGGAGTTCCCAACCAAGCAGCTATTGTAAAGCGTGAAATTTTCGCGGCGTTTTTAGTTCGCGTTTTCAGAATCCGGACAGGTTTGCGAGGTTTTAATTTTGCGATTGCAGAATGGCATTCTTGCTAAACCTGTGGCATTCTTGCTAAACCGTTCATGGATCTCCTTTTCGCGCTGTCTAAATTTCGCGATTTCCACGCGGTCGCGGATTTCGCAGAAATTAGACCATGGCAATAATTTCACGGCTTACAGTATTACCCACAGTTAACTGGGAGCTCGTGGCCTGGCACGAGGCTGACAAGGGTGCAGCGAATGAGGTTTCTGTGTTCGACCACTTGGATGGGGCTGCATCTGATGCTATGGCCCTTGAGGCTGGCGGGGTCCCTACGGAAATACGGAACTGAAGAGATCAAATGAATAAACAAGTTGTCATGTTGCGTGGTGATGTCTGCGGCATTCATATTCTTCATACCTCTTACAAGTACAATACTGTATATACACAGAAGCCTTGCTTGGTAGTTTAACATGTTTTTCAATTTTGACAGCATGTTACAAGGTGAGACCGGGACTCAGTCAACCGGGTTATGGTTGTAGTCAGGAGCACTACGCGTCCTCGCCTTGTAACATGCTGTCAAAATTGAAAAAGTACAATACAGTCTGTATCGGCTATAGAGTGACCGGATATAAGAATATATCGGCTACAGTGATATTGGTACGAAATATCAAAAGCAAAACGTATTTTGTCCAGTACAAATATCACTATAACCAATATTATCGGATGTAATGATATATCGGATATTATGATGGCAACAAAGAATCAAAACATGCATAACACACTATATTATTATCGGCTATAGTGATAACTTTAAAAATACATGTAGCAATAATATCAAAGGCCTTATTTTTTTACTTTCTTCACGTTGCTTATTTTTATAGTGATACATGTACATATGTACATGTACATGTACATACATGTAACAGAATTTTTTCACGGAAATGCGGGCACTGTTAACTATGCAGCATGCTCATTTGTCAAAACGCCATGCTAGCTGGAAGTATTTCCTTGCCTTTCATGTTCGATCGAAAAAAGAAAAAAATCGATCGTATCGCATATAGTGATGCATCGGTTATAGTGATAAAATCAAGGAAATCAAAAGGGTACGCTATAGCCGATACAGACTGTATTATAAGCCATTTTTCGGTGAAATGCCCATTTTTCGTGACTCTAGTGTCTAAAGGTGCCTGGATATGGGGAGTCTGGGTTAGGGCAGTTTTATTGTACTCGTACACGCAGCACTTTCATCATCATCAGCATGGGAACCAACGATCTCCCTTCAAGGAACTGAACAAAAACACGCGTTCTCACTTACAGATTCGTTTTGAAGCCCATCACGTGGCCCGACCTCTACAATCTTCACTTTCTCTGGCCAGTTGGGGTGACGCGCCTGTATTCTGTACTTCGGTGGGTCCTCACCGCCTTCAGGAATCACGGCTCTCCCCGTCCGTGCTGGCCCTCTGGGCAACTCAGTATTGGTGAGGGTCTGTACGGATACCACAGCAACAGAACAAGTCATTGGACAAGTACATACATTTTACGTGGTCCTCTCCTTTTTAAAGGAGAGGAAAAAGGCCAGATAAACACAACGAATTCAAAGGATCAGTCGGGGTTTGGGTTTGGGGTTCTCCCAATCCTTTAAAAACACAACAAAGGTCACCATTTACGGTGTATTAATTACGGAACACAAATGTTGACAAAGGAAATAAGGGTACTGTAAGAGTTGAAACTCTAACGGAGCACAAAGTATAGCGTTCTAAAGATGAAAAACCCATCGTTAACTCAAGAAACGTTACACGTATGTTATTCCTTCTCTCCTCTGTGCTAGAGAAATAGAGACAGTAGGTAGTCCTACATAGAGCATGGGGTCTCCGAAAACCAGGTGGCCTCTCAATCAGGCTTCCAGCAAGATGACAAAGAAAAGCCACTTCAAACTGCATTGGACTGAGAGTTCAACTGAAAAACTAGAAAAATGACAAACTAACTAACTATGGCATTTTCGTGGCGTGTGATTCCTGTCGGAGCGTCATACTCTCCCGATAGCACGGTGACAAAGAACAGCCACTTCAAACAGCATTGGGCTGAGTTTCACTGAAAAACTAGAGATTTATTGAAATGTCTTAATACCGTTGTGCCATGTACTTATTCAGCAGAGATTTGAGTCTGACATACACCAAGAATTGTCCGATATAAGAACATATACAGTCCTAAACTCGTATACTGAACCAATGTTTTAAAAATGTAGAAAGAGTGTCCCTTCTTCTTTCAACATTGTTGCCTGATGATTGCGTAAGCATAAAACTCAGGGTAGGGACAAACTAGCATTGTTTGCCTTTGTTGTTCTGTGTTCTTTCTACATGAACGTGACCAGATACTGTATAGCAGGAAATTTTCGGACGGAATTTATTTTCGTACGATTTCGTACACGGCCTCTTTTGTACTAAAATTAATTCCGTACTAAAATGTGTTCCTGTGAAGGTATGTGCGCTATACATGCGTACCGCATGCGAACACGTGCATTTAGCATACAGCACTGTACGAAAATATAATCCGTCCGAAAGGTCGAAATTCGGCTTTGTCCGAAAATATTTCCGTCCGAAAATTTCCTGCTATACAGTAAGACTCTACTAAACGACTGTACATTTTTAAAAGGGTGACTTCGATTTTGAAAACACGCCTTCAAAACAGCTTGCCCAGACGTGTTTGGATAACTGGACTGCAGAGATGCTGCGTGCAAAAAAACCGCAAATGCAGTGCATGCTGAACGTGTGCACGAAGACATGCACATCGTACATGTACGTGGGAAATTATTCCCACCGATTGCCTTATCCAGACATGCAGCCTCTGAGGGCCTCTGCCCAACTGTGTCCAGATGAAGCAAGGTTGGACTGTATGTACATTGTACATGCAGAACATCAACCTAGACACTGCACTGCAGGAAGTAGCTGACCAGTAGTCAGCAATGTGGGGCGAATTGCACTGACTCGTGCGGCCCAGCGTTATAACAATCCCCAGATGACCAGTAGTCGTGCATACGGGCATGTCTTGTTGCCACTTGTAGGCAATCGATAGGCGAACAATTCACACTTGGTTCAGCGGTGGCCATTCTTTACTACTGCTACATGTATGCTTGTAGCTTGCCACACACTACAATAGTACGTACTGTATAAGCAGAAAAATTCGTCTGGAATTTAATTTCGTCTTTTTCGTCCAAGGAGCTTTTGGACTAAATTAAATGTAAGACTAATGTCGATTTGCCCAGCTTTTCTATACACTCTTATGATCCATGGACGAAATTTTCAACCGGACAAACTCCTTTTCTTTGGAGTTGGACGAAATTATTGACCGACAAAATTTTCTGCCTTTACAGTACTATGTAGTCCACCTGCCTTACTGTGTTCAATGTGTAGACACACAGAGCATAGGCGCACATATAGCTAAATCGTTAAACTCTGGGGGTTAAGAATAAAAAAAACTGCCCGTCCTCAACTGTGACGATACTGCACACTATATACACCGTGGCCAAAAAATCCTACCCACTTCCGGAAAGCAGCGCCAAGCAGCGCCAAGGCTCATGCGGCCCCCGGATGATTTTTTCCCGGACCGTGAATGATGTAATGGAAAAGGAAACGTGACCCGTGGATCGGATTTCTTTGGCCACGACGGTAATTACTGGTAGTGATTCCAACCGAGAGCCATGGCGACAGCAGAGCTGCATGGGCACGGGGCACTTCGTATGGAGTGTAACACGCTACAGGAACTGACTTACTGCGGATCAAGTAAATGTACATGAGCTCGGGCTAGTGCAGGTTCGTATCCAACGCTTTGAGGGTTGAGTAGGCCAACCGATTACGGAGACACCCATCACAGAAACAATAACGATTATCTAATGGATATTAGCAAACATGACTTGTATGGACTGTCTCCTGACATTGCCTATGTGTAGTATCAAGAGTGCATAAACCAGAGTGTGCAACTCGGGATGGTTCCTGTGGGAGCGTAATTCGTGCAGTACGTCATTTCTGACGGCATGGTAAGCCACAGGTACGGTGAAAAGTTACGTAACCAGTCACGGTGGTGCAGGTCACTGAGTTTGTCCTGATTTCGGTTTTTTGATACGGATGGCCTGGTGAATTTACTTGTCAGCGGATGTACGCAGCATACGCAGTCACACAAAAACACCGAAATCCTAAAACAGGACGCCTAAAATCATGCAAACTTGGCTGATTTCCGGTCTGTGAAACGCAAAAATTTGAGCTGTACCGTCCTGTACGCAAGTCGCGGCTTGGCTGACCTCACCAGGGTGACGTAGTGCACAAACTGCGCTGTTTCAGATCTGATATGCACAGTTGCACACTCTGGTTTATGTACTCTTGGTAGTATGAGGAGCGGAGGGAAAGGATGTCACGTGTGCTACAATCATGTCATGCAGCTGAAATCATGTTTGGAATTTCAGGCAAAAAAAGACTAAAGGGCATCATTGTTACTGTTTCTCTATTTCCTGAGATTCGGTTTCCCAGATATGGAGCTCAGATTTTACAGTGAAACGGTGAGCCGCATTTATTAGCTTCACACAAGCACTGCATCGACCTTTGTGTGGTAGCTAATGGTATTAAACGTGACAAAACAGACAAAAAAAATTACAGCAAAAAGGGCTAAACTCACCCTTACTGCGACCCCAGCTGGTCTGAATGGTCCAAGCGCGCGAGATAGCATTCTGAATCTAGATGTTTGAGGTACGTGATGAGAGAAATTGGAAATATACTTAGGACTAATTTCTTTCAAAGGGCATCGATTGCTAAAACTATTATTCCACAAACATGATCGAGGCAATGAAAAATCCAATCGATCGACATTGAAGAGTTGCTTGCTGATTGTGCGGTGCCATGCGATATCATGTACACACACGTGACACTGCAAAATAATAATTATTTTTGCGAGTTGAAAAAAGCTCGACCTTGATGATGTATGGATCCATGGATTTGGTCCCTGATCGATCCGTGAGTGATCGGATATGCATACACAGACGATATGCTGATCTGAATGGAAGTACAGTATTTGTGTATTGTTACTTTTGTAGTCATGAACAGGATCAAGGACTGGTAAGTGGTATGTATTACTTGCGGCAAGAGTGCATGTACTCTTGCTTGCAGTAGTGAGCTGAGAGCTATGGCAGAGATCCCTGGTAAACATGGTAAAAGAGCGCCATACTCTTTCTTGTCTTGCATGGTTTCAGACTTCTTAGTTCTAAAAAATACCCCCACACTACTCGAGCACTTCCATCGAGAATCAACAGGTGGTGGATAGCTTTGGTACCACCACTTCACATGCAAGTCACCGGGTTGGCCGGCAGACTCAGTGCAAGGGAAAAGACGGATACCATAAATTGGCATTACATGTACAACCTGTGAACGCGCTGGTAAAAAAAGAGAGAGAGACTGGAGACGATTGCGATATCGCAAATACTAAAATGAAGCACTTTGCCAAATTTCCTAAACTTGAGGCCAGCAAAATTATCGCACCATGCATTCCAGACCAGCAGGTAAGCATTAAAAGTAGCATTAAAATTAGGAATAACGGAAAAAATATGAACGGAAAGCAGATAATATATGTACAAGCTTTTGGCAATGCTACGTGACCACAGAACGAAAGAAGGGTTAAATAGAGACGAGCATATCACGTATCTACACCACCAGCATATCACACAAACACGCAATACACGAGCAGACTAAGCACATGTCGCAAGGGAGCACACCGCACTCCCCGAACGAATAGCGAGAGAACGGGCAGCAATTATCACACGGCGGTAACGGGATCGTTCAGCTTACCGACGTCGGCGTCCGACTCGTCCACCTGCAGTATGCGGCCCGGTACGGCACTGCTGTACTCGCGCAGGTACTTGCCAACCACCTTGTACTCCTGCTTTTCCCGATAGTGCTCCTGAATGGCGTCGACTTGCGAGAACACTCCCTTCCACGTGCACACCATCACCAGGTCGTTCTCCAGGTGGCGGCGAGTGCGCAGCACGTGGACGCGCTTCAGCGCAATGTTGTGCGGCTCAAACGAGCCCGGCGTCAGCGTCCACAGGTCGGTGCTGTCCACGGCGATGCGCTCCTCCAGCGTTAGCGTGTCCGGGTCCACCACCCACTGCAGAGGCTTCTGCATGTAGCGCAGGCGTGTCCAGCGCGGCGACACAATTCCCAGGCGCGTCATCCTGCAGCGCAAGAGGGAGAGAGAGCAATAAATCAGAACGACTCAGCAGTGCATACTTTTAAAAGTTTAAATGAACTGGCCCTACCATAATGTTCGTTGTCGTTTCGTCTGAATGAGCTGTAGCAGGGTGGATCTGAGATCTTGTTGCGGGTTATGCTACCCCCATCAGCCCCCCCCCCCCCTAAAAAATCAAAATCAGGACCAGGATTAGGACATGTACACACATACACTGTTGCAGTGCTGTGGAAGTTCAGGGCAGGAGTTACCCTCACTCCCTTCCCGACCCTGCACCGATAAAATCGTTGGTTTTAGCATTTTACGTCAATTTTAGAGTCATGCAGATTGTGTTGAACCGGCGAGGCAAACCCAGCCCTAGCCCTGCCTGCACTATTTGAAAGTACGGTGAAACCTTCAGGAATGCCCACAATACACAGATTTTACACTGGTGAAAGCCATGTACGAATAACGTTACTTGTGGTATAATAATATTATTTAATTTTGAAATTTATCGAGATGCAGACATGCACCATGTTGACGATTCTCGTAACCAGCTTCCTATTCAGTTTATTTACTTTTCGCCATCACCACTGACTATTACCCTACGATATCCATAGTGTATTCTTATAGGGATCAGTTATAAGATAGATAACACATTACGAAATGTACACTGTACGAACACACCACCTCTTATTCTTCCCAAGCCGAACAGTACGTACCACAGGATGGCGGTAGGGGGTGTCCGCAGCCAAGGAGCCATAGCAGCAAGACGCTACAACTATTCACCACCACACATCAATCCTGCCTCACGACTGGACCTGACAATGACCTCCTTGTAGAAGTATTACAGCTTCGTGAAACAATTTTCGATTTCGAAGCAATGGCATGTATGTGATGTTTTGTTGTCCAACGGCAACGATGCATGAGATGGTCGGGTCGTGCACTCCCGAAGATTTTGCATTATCTGTATGGATTTTGCTCTGAAATCTAACAATTAATTATTTACAAACAAGAGCATGTAAAACCGTGAAATCGATGCAAAACCCGCAAGCTAAAACAAAACACTTCAGTAAACAACTGAAAACCGTTTGTGACGCAATCTTGCGGGTACGGGATGACATCAATCTTTTACTTCATGACTAATCCCCTCTTCAAATTCCCAACAGTGCAAAGAGTACTGGAGAGATACAATTTTGTTAGATGAAGGAATTATCAATTGTTTATAGCTCTGTAGTACATGTAGGAGAAGCCCCAGTCGATGGAGATAAATCCGCCTGGAAGCCTTCAGTACTGTTCGCTCTGCTTTATTGCGTCCCACTATCAACCAAAATTTAATAGCAATGATTCTGTAGAGTTTCCAGGTTTACGTTATATTTCCTGAAAGGGTTGATTGTCGTTCAGAATGGAAGCTGAGCGTCCGAGAAAGAAAACCAAGAAGAAACACAGGCAAAGAGAATCAGGTACATTTTCAGGTGTGCGCTTTGACATTCAGCAAGCCTATCTCCTATCTCATTGCTGCTGGTTGTGTAGGACGCACCATAGCCTTCAGCTGAGCAAACAGATCTCTCTCGAAGTCATTGCAGCTCGTACAGGCTTGTTGAATAATCCTACTTTCCATCAATATGTCAATGAACTAATTGCGTTAGTGTTTACCTGTAATGCGTGACAAGATGAAAGCTCAGAGTGCTCTGAACGATTTTGGAATTTAAATGTTTGAAATTGTAATTGTAATCTGAAGCACTTGAACATGCTTCAGACTATTTTCTGCTGTTGTTGGCAGCTTGAAATTGGCGATGAGTGTGCAAGTTATTTATTGGAATGGTGTAGCATTCTTATTTAACTCCTGTTGTTAGGATGAAAAGCAGAGTTGTGTTATAATGCGTTTGCGTGGTATTCAGTTCCGAAGGCCAAGATCATGTATTGCTCTTACATGTGCTTTGCAGAAGGCGCGAGCTCCCGGAGTGCGCGAAGGCCACCTGGTTCTGCAGCCGCTGCCAGCACTTCGGCGTCGGCTGCAGCGGAAGGATTTGCGACCGCGTCTGCTGCAACTGCCGATGTGAGGGAGGCTAGTACTGATGTGAGGGAGACTACTGCCGATGTGAGAGAGGCTGCTGCCGATGTGGGGGAGGCAACTGCCGATGTGGAGGAGGCTACGGCTGATGTACCAGTGGAGGATAGCGCTCCCTCTCTCGCTGCATGTGCTGCTGTGGATGATAATGTCGTCACCGCCAGTGAGCCTGAAGTAGCCGCTGATACCTCCTGTGAGCAGGTCCAAGGTGTTACCAAGGCTGAAACTGCTGCTGAATCTACTGCTGAATCTGTTCTGGCTACTTTGCCAGCAGAGACCATGGCGCTTGAGCAAGTCACGGAAGCGGATACTCAACAGGAAGAAGTACGCACCGGTGAAGCATCTGCAGATGTGGGAAGTGCGATAGCGGAAAACGTACTTTCATTGGCCGATGCACCTGCCACCGCAGACGTGCAAGCGGAGCCCAGCTCATCCGCTCCACTTTTAGTCGAGACTACAAGTACTCCAGAATCAGCACATGACAATGGAGCTGGTCTGGCAATGGCGTCATCCGAGGAAGCACAGGCTGCTGCTCCTGAGCCAGCTGCTGCTGAAGATGTGTCGCAGGCAGCATGTACACTGGATGATGCCCTATCCGGTCTCACTGTAGATACACAGACCATGTCTCAGCGTGAAGCAGCTATCCGCCCCGCAGTCGTGTCGCTTGGCGAAGCAAGCAACAATGTCGAGGTGTTGACTGCTATGCCCGAAAGAACGCAAGAAGCTCCTGCTGCTGCCGCTGCCAGTGCTGCAGAAGCGGCGCTGTTCTCGCCTCAGTTATCGTATGAGATGCAAGCTGCAGCAGCTGCAGCGGCTTCGGCCAGCTGTGCACCCACCGTAATTATGGACATGCATAGTCCGGTTCACTCACAGCCAGCTACGAGTGACGTTACGTGTAAGTATACTCTTCTGCTGCTGCTTCTCATTTTCATTTTCACATTGTGTTGTTCGATTTCACCCGGTTTTACTATGCCGATATTTGAAAAAGTGATGTAACCACGCACATACACACACATACACACACGCACGCGAGCGCGCACACACACACACGTACACACATACGCCCACGTATGCACACACACACACACACACACACACACACACACACACACACACACACACACACACACACACACACACACACACACACACACACATACACCCATAAACACACATCCTCTCTGTCTCTTTCTCTCTGCCTCTCTCTCTCTCTCTCTCTCTCTCTCTCTCTCTCTCTCTCTCTCTCTCTCTCTCTCTCTCTCTCTCTCTCTCTCTCTCTCTCTCTCCTTCTCCGTAATCCTCTCCCTCTCTTTCTTTCTCATCCTCTTACTCACTCTGTGTGCGCGTGTTGTGCTCAGTAATGCGTCCATTGGCCGAAGACGAACTTGGACAACTCTACCAGAATCCGTTACTCGCTCATAATGAGAACTTCATACGCACGTTCCTAGGCGTAAGCTCACTGTGGGAGAATGTTCTATCATGGTCACGGTTCCTTGCAGGTGCCCTGCCCTGTATTCAGTCTTTTGAATCGCCTTCTTGTGTACTTGGATTCATTGTCCATGTTTCATGCACGTACTCTGTTCTTTTGTCAGCAGTGGATCCAGCGATCTCTACAGGGGGGTTCCAGTATAGTCAAAACTAAATAGCTGATACATGTACATGGACACGCATATGGTTGCCAGTGGTACATTTACGGAATTTAGGGGGTTCCGCGGAACCCCTGGTACCCCTCCTGGATCCGCCCCTGTTTGTTTTATCTTAGACACGTACAATGTTCTCAACATGTTGTTGGCATTCGTACTACTGTTTGTGTCTGATGGTAGGATGTCAGAGTCTGGCATGTTTGAACTGGGGAAGCGAAGCTGCCCTTTTTCACACTGGCCCTTTTGAAGTCGATTTGTAGTTTCAAAGTTTGTCTTAGCTAAGAAGCGCAGCTGTCGGTGCAGTATGACTTTGCTCACTGGATTTCTGATGCGGCATTGACTCTCGTTTTTGTTTTCGCTGTCATTCTTGTTATCTCTGCTGCGGCCACCGCTGTCACCTACGCAGTCTTGTCACCAGGAACGGCATCCCCTCGCCGAGTTGGTCGGTAATTACCTGCGCCATCGCCTAGCCCTGGCTAACATCGACAATGAAACCCAGGTAATGTGTTTGAGTTGCTCTACGCCTGGCTAGCCAAATTAACTTGAATAGGGATGCAGTCGCACCCCCTATTCTTTTACACTATCTACAGAGATGTACAGTTGCGCTCCGTGAAATCCAACCCGAAGTGCGTATTTGGCGCCCTCAGCTTGTGTGCCCTGGAAGTGGTATGAATGCTGCTGGGCGTACACATGCACAAACATGGTGACGTGCTAGTATTCAGAACTGGTCCAGGGCGCCAGCTTGGCACTTTGGGTCGGATTTCACCAAGCTCAACTGTACATGTACTTTGCATGTGTTGATGAATCCGTTGTACACTCACTTGCTATGGAAGACCTCAGCTGTTGCATGGCAGACATCAAATGGGCCTGTACCTTTGCCTGTGGGCTAGCTGCGTTTGTCTTGCATGATTACATATACCGTGAAGTACCGTTGATCCGCCCCCCTCTCTAATTGCCGTCCCCTGTTGATTTTCTGCCCGTGAAACGACTTCGGCGTGTACAATGAAGTACGGTGTTGAGCCGACGCATGCACTGCTGTACACAATACGCGCCAGTGCAGGATGAAAATGTGCACACTCCAGCACATCGAGTCTGAACTTCCATGTTGTGTTGTACATTGTACTGCACTTGACAGCCTTGATCTAATTCCAGCCCCCTGCCGAAAACCCAACTGGGAAGCGACATGGCATGGGGGGAGGCACCAACGGTACTCGACGGTACTGCCATCAAACATTTCAAAGTACTGTAGTCACTCGGCTTGATGTTGCTCCTGCTTGACCGTTATTGCCTCTTCTTAGATAATATCTACAGCTTCTGTACTTTCTTTGTTTTGTTGTTCATCGGCGTGCAGTGTCTGAAGCGTGATTACTATCGGCAACGTTCGGAAGTGTGGGTGATGGAGGATTCGTCCGCCACGCAAGGAGTAAGCATCTAGTGTTCTTGTTGTGGCAGATAGATTGTGGCTTTGAAAATTTGCAGCCACACGTCTTGTAGTTTGTTACCATGCTACGGTCTGATCTACTCGCCTCCCACCGCTGTAGGAGCTGCATCTGCGCCTTGATCATCCTTGAAGGTGGTAGTATGTCTACAGATGCCGAGAATTCAGTCTGACTGAGTCTCACACGAATCGTAACCTTTGCTTGTTTTGTACCACCACTATGATCGATATCATGCTCACTGATGCAGTGCAGCCCATTGGACACTTTGTCACTGCTGTTCAACGTGCATGTTTGTTACAGTGAAGGCTTCTGTCCGTGAGAGACAATGTTTCCCCTACATGTATTTTGTGTGGCATGCTTTCTGTCATTCTATTGGACATCTCAACGCAGACCTGGGGTTTTCACTGTCTACGCTCTTATCATGCAATGAAATCCCTGCACAAGTAAATCAAAGCCCCAAAGTCCAGAACATGGCTTCTTATTAAAATTAACGTGAGTTCACTATACATGTTTTTTTCCTCTGTGTATTGCAGTCTCGGTGTAGGGATGGGCGCAACGTCGAGTACACGCACCACTTCAAGTCGTCGCACTTCAACCACGACGTCGCCTTTGAGCTCAACCGCACGATGAAGACGCTGCGCGAAGCGTCGCACGAGGTTGGTTCTGCTCTCGATTTTGCTGCCGGCTGTGACTGGCTACGCGGTGGTAACACCTGTGTTAGTCTCTTAGTGGCCATACCTTGCTGCACAGAGAGCCGGTCTTTATAGCCAGGTGGTCTCTCATCACAGGTTCTAATGCATGTAGCAACATGGTTTGGTTGCTGAGATGACTGGTCGCATAACACAGGTGGTCTCTCATCACAGGTGCTAATGCATGTAGCAACATGGTTTGGTTGCTGAGATGACTGGTCGCATAACACAGGTGGTCTCTCATCACAGGTTCTAATGCATGTAGCAACATGGTTTGGTTGCTGAGATGACTGGTCGCATAACACAGGTGGTTTTTCAACATAGGTTCAAATGTATGTACAAGTAGCAACAGGGTCAGGGTCTCATAAGGCAGATTGCCTCTAGTCGAAGGTTTTCCTGTCTTCAGGATACACGTCATGTACTTGCACAGGGGCGTCGCACACGGTACGGTCACTACGGTATTGACCGTACCACTATTTGACCCAAGTACCCCGTGAATCAATAAAAATGCACTGATTTGGGCTCTAATTTTCCAAAATTTTCAGCTCAGCCACCCCTCCGCCACGAGTAAATTGTTCTTCAGATGGCTGACCGTACCACGCTAAATTACCTTCCGACGCCCCTGTTGCATCATTAGGATTTTCACACACGGCAGGAACAAGGTTGCCCGGTGTGGTGGTGTGTGGAGTGTGACCGTAATTTCCAAGTCTACATTGCACAGGGGGTGAGCTGTCCAAGCGATGTACACATTGTGTGAATGTGTTTGTGTGGATTGCCTGTGCTATGTACACACCGGTATGCTTGGCCCGATGGTGTGAGTGTTGCTACCGCACACCTGAAATCAGTGTGCTGTGCTATCGGTTGCAGAAACGATCGATGGAAGCGTATGAAGCGCAGCTGTCCTGGCTGCATGTCGAGCAGTACCTCTACCGCCTGGTGGATTCCTCTCCGATGTTCCGCAGTGTCCGCCAAGATGGCCCCATCACAGGTCAGTGCTGGTCTGCTTTTCTCCGTCTCACATTCACACACAGGGGTGTTGGACACGGCACGGTCACTACGGTACGGTATTGACCGTACCACTCTTTGCCCCAGGCACCCCGTAAATCAATCAAGAGCGCTGATTTGGGCTCTAATTTTCGATATTTTTCTACTCGGCCACTTCTCCCCCACAAGTAAATTGTACTTGAGATGGCTGGCCGTACCATACCAACATACCTTCTGACGCCTCTGACACATGTACACGTGTACACATGCCTGCCCCTACGTTTTCTGAGTAAGCTTGCACTCGGTTTGGGTTCATGTTCACAGCCGTCGACGAGTATTGGGTAAAAAAAAGAATTTTTTTCTTGTACACCCACCGTGCGCTTTCAAAACTCTGTGCTTATATTGTGTAATGTTATGGATCACCCTCTTTGGATACCTAAGACGTTTGTGGACTTCACACAGCTGGTGTTGAACTGGTAGCATATTAGTAGCTAGATTGGACTGTGTGTTTCATACACTGGGTTTTTTGTGCCAGATGGTTTGGCTAGGTGTGGTACTTCGCAGTTATGTCAAGGACTGAACGCGATGGTAGACTTCTAATCTTCGTCTTTACATCCTTGCTGATTCCGTTCGTTTTGTGCCTTTCATGTGATGTACATGCGTGCGTGCGTGTGTGTGTGTGTGTGTGTTGTGTGTGTGTGTGTGTGTGTGTGTGTGTGTGTGTGTGTGTGTGTGCATGTGTGTGTATGTGTGCACGCGCGCGCGCATGTGCCCAATGACGTTGTTTTATGCGCATGTGTAGCCTGGGCGGTCATGTCGCAATCTGAAGACATTGTTGAGCTTCGCAACTGCGTCAGCGTCCTGTTTGGCTTTGAGCGTCGGCCCATCAGTGACGAGATCTTTGTGAAGCACCTCCGGGAGTGGACCGAGCGAATGGTTAGTGAACAATGTGCAGTGCATATCCAGGTAGCAACATGTAAAGTAAATTTCGCACGTCCACGTTACAACCGGCTATACAACCGGCTATACAACCGGCTATACAACTGCGTTGAGAAACATGTACTTGGCAAATATCCCACGATGATAATTATTATTAATTTTTTGTGTCGACCGTATTTGCCCGATTATAGGTCGCACCCCCATTTTCAGGTTTTGAGCTACAGTACTATTAATTTTTGATATGGTCACTTCAGTTCAGTAGTAAGTCATGCTCGATTGCAAGTCGCACCCCTTTTGTTATCCTTGAATTTTAGTGTAAAAAGTTGCGAATTTTATTCGGGGAAATACTGTATACTGTAAAAGCAGAAATTTTCGGTGGTGTAATATTTTCGGTATTCTCCAAAATCGGCGGTTCGGTAGAGGGAAATTTTCGGTAAAACCCGTTCTCCAGGGAAGTGTACTTGTACTACATGTATACAGAATTGGTTGTACCGAAATTTTCGGTGCGTTTTATTTTCGGTAAAAATTGTCGGCACCGAAGTTAGTTACCGAAAATAAGACACCACCGAAAATTTCTGCTTTTACAGTATATTGCCCTTGACAGTGACACTGGCCGTGGGTGGCATTGTCCGGGGTAGATACAGTAAAACCTGTGACTAACGACCACCCCTTGGGGCCAGAGAAAGCGGTCTTTAGTGGCAGGTGGTCCTTAGTTAGAGGTCTGCACCGCACAACCATAATGTGGATGTGAGACCGTCCGTGCCTGGCGAAGCGGTCTGTAGCACCAGGCTGGTCGCCCTTGGGGCCAGAGAAAGCGGTCCTTAGTGGCAGGTGGTCCTTAGTTAGAGGTCTGCACCGCACAACCATAATGTGGATGTGAGACCGTCCGTGCCTGGCGAAGCGGTCTGTAGCACCAGGCTGGTCGCTAGTCGCGCTGGTCTTCAGTTACAGGTTTTACTGTAGCACCAGGCCGGTCGCTAGTCGCGCTGGTCTTCGGTTACAGGTTTTACTGTATGTCCACTCCTTGTACCGTACTGACATGAAGTGTTTGTGTTTGAGACACACTACGGTAGTCAGTGCTGACTGCGTTTGATGTCCGTTCTCGCTGTCGTGTGTTTCGCTCTCTCCAGGTGGCTCTCTTACTACGCGTCGCCACTCTGTCGGATCATCTGTTCATCTTGAATCATGTGATGCGGTGTCCAGCCGGCATAGCGCGCTGGGCAACGTCCTACCTACAGGTCATACCGCCGCATTTCGTTCATCAGCAGGCGTCCATACCTCACCCAACTGGTATGTGCCTGTGTATGCATGCGTATGTGCGTGTGCGTGTGTATTTATGGTATATGTTGGGCCGGTGAGTGTGTATGCATGTGTACATGTGTGGGTGTATGTGTCTGTCTGTCTGTCTGTCTGTCTATTTGTCTGTATACAAGCCGGGTCTCAAAAATATTAAAATTTCATTCTCTGCAGTATGTATGGTTTATGAAGCTATGTCTTTCTCATTTCACCGTAGGTATTGCTATCTCCAAGTGATCACAGCGTATTGCTCTAGGAATCGAATGACTGCAGGCATACAAGTGCTGCAGGGAAGAATTTTGGTGTGTGTGTGTGTGTGTGTGTGTGTGTGTGTGTGTTCTGCTGCTGTTGTTCCAAAGGTGTGACTGTATCCTACTCTCAGTATTCTCAGCCACTTATGGATCTTTTTGTGACCGTGGTTGCCACCCTGCTCAAGCCAATTGAGTAAGTCCTCATGCAGACTACATGCACTATGCAAGACACAGTCCAGTCCAGTAGGGTGCTCAACAATTACTAGTACGCATTTCTTCTGCTACTCCGGGTTTTATGCCGTCTTTGTCGATCGCCAGGCACCATAGCTAGCTGAGCAGCATGAAGCTCTGAGTTGCAACTAAATCCAAGCGGTTGTTATTTTTCCATGATGTGTGGCATTCTCAGCGTATTGAGCACTATTCTGCAGCTGTTGCTACAGCTCTACTTACCAACACATAGTGCACACTTTGGATGCCATCTTTGAGGAGCTATAGTGCGAGAGAGAGAGAGAGAGTGTGTGTACGTTCTGCATGTGATGGCTTGTGTTTCCTTATCCGTTTTTTCTCAACGTTCGTCGCTGTATTTCTGCTTCCCGTGCAGGCAGCGCAACGATTTCCTCTCGGCGTTCTGCGTGCCCGACACACCAGGATCTCCTACTGCAATGAGTAAGCTATGCGTTTGTACTTTAAAAGAAGTTGATGGGCGAACCATTGGCTGATCACTCTCATTGTCTCACTGAACAAAAATAATTCTTTGATCAAGTGTGGTGCCAGAAAATTGCATGCCTTTCCGCTTCCGCGGGACGCTACCCCATGATCAGGCGTCCGATGCGGTTCCTAAACGGTGGGGGAGGATAGATCAGATCTACCAACCAGAGGCCGAAGGCCGAAATCCCATTTGCCACATCCATAGTGTGGTGTGCAAAGTAACAAACAAAACTATAGTGCTGCTCAATGGAATCCAGTCAGGCGAGTCAACTTTGCATCCAGGGGCAGTGAACGGCCCCAGTGTCAGTGTGCAGCCCCAGTGTCAGTGTGCAGCCCCAGTGTTAGTGTGCAGCCCCAGTGTCAGTGTGCAGCCCCAGTGTCAGTGTGCAGCCCCAGTGTCAGTGTGCAGCCCCAGTGTCAGTGTGCAGCCCCAGTGTCAGTGTGCAGCCCCAGTGTTCGCAGGTCTAGGACTGCACAATGCCCGGCTCACACTAGACTCACTCGATCGGATTTCATTGGGTAGCACTGTGCATGTGCTTTGTTGCTATCTGTTCAGTAGTTGGAAAATCTATTTTTTCATTTGCTATCAGGTTCGGCCTCATTTTCTCATTGCTGCGCTGATGAGTCCACAAAGGACGAAACAGTTCTGTCCGCAGATTGAGTGTTCAGTAGTTTAGTTTGTTGCTTAGTCGTGGTTGGCTATAAAAACCCTGCAATCGCCACGCAAAGTGGTCATTCGCTACCCCAGCCATGTATTGCTTGGAATAAAATAAAAAATAAAATAAAATTTGCGACTTCATTCACTGCCCGTGTAAAAAGTGAAGCTTGCATATCCGCGTTTCTACTGGCGATACCTGTTTGGAAACACAACCAGCTTAGAGAAGTTTCACTCGTACCAGGCCACCACCATGCCTGATTATTCCACAATTGGCAAATGCAGTGCCTGTGTGATGTCCAATTGGGCGCATGACTGCGTGTTCATGTATTTATAGTGGCATTTGGAGATCTCCATTTAGCAAACTTGGCAACATCAGTTCTTCTCACTAAGCTATGCTTGCTATGATTGTGTTGACAGCTTTCCTGTAGCATTCCTGTGTATTGTATCATGGTCTTTGCATATCATCTCATGTGTTGGCTCAGGTCACCTGCAGAGCTGGACACTGATTGATGAGGATGGAGAAGATGTCGAGGTGCGTTGTCAGTTTTCTTGCCTGGTGCCAGCTTAACCTCTTGCCTCCGTATTGCCTCCTTTCGCAATTATTTGTAGCAATCATGCCGGCTCTGTGATTTCAACCTCTGTGCACGTCCGTGCGTGTGTGTGCTTCCCTATACGTGTCTTCATTCGACGTCAAGAAAGCCGTTGCCTTTTTCTGTTTCATCCACAGATGCCATTACCTAACATCAAACCTGTGCTTGTTGTGTTGTTGTTGTTGTTGTTGTTGTTGTTGTTGTTGTTGTTGTTGTTGTTGTTGTTGTTGTTGTTGTTGTTGTTGTTGTTGTTGTTGTTGTTGTTGTTGTTGTTGTTGTTGTTGTTGTTTTTGTTGTTTTTGGTGTTATTGTTGTTGTTGTTGTTGTTGTCGTTGTTGTTGTTGTTGTTGTTGTTGTTGTTGTTGTTGTTGTTGTTGTTGTTGTTGTTGTTGTTGTTGTTGTTGTTGTTGTTGTTGTTGTTGTTGTTGTTGTTTCTTTATTTTAATTCACCATATGAACAGGCAAGACTGCCTTCTCACCGGGGCTATTGGCCCACGGCTCTCACAATATGATGAAAGTGTTCTATGATCTTCTACCCCATGTGTGCTTTGCTGCTAGGATGAGAGCCCAACGCAGCACCGGTTATTGCTGAGCGAGGCGGACTACACCTCGCTGTTTGAGCAGCTGCCGTTCATGGACATGTTCAAGTACATCTTGAAGATCAATCCAGGTGGGTAGTACATGTGCGTACTACAGTGCAGTGCTCAATGAAATCCAGTCGCAAAACTCAAGTACGCGCCGGGCGTTGCGCGGCCCTAGACCTGCAAACACTGGGCTGTGAAATGGTGCAAGGCGCAAACTTGAGTGACCCGACTGGATTTCATTGAGCAGCACTGTAGTATGGAAGTGTATACTTCCTTTGGAAACGAAAAACTTCGTGGGTTCAATGGACCTGTCAGTTCTGGTGATTTGAGCTGTGTGTGTAATTGATACAACTCACACACTAGCTCCGGTGCAACCATTTGTCACTGCCTTTACTGCCCGCTTCCTCTTGCTGGTATTATTATGATACCAGTTCTGTAAAGAATTGTCAAAAGTCTTCATCTGATTTATCACTGGTTTTATTGTTGCATGTTGGGTGCTCAAATTTCAAATTTGGCATTTTGTCTTCTTCTTTTTTGTTCTGCTGTCCCACAGCTGCTGGTGAATCGATCGACTATCAGATCTGCGACACGTGCAGTCATGACATGCTGACACTGTTGGCGTTCACCACGCGACTGCTGCGCTTGCTGGCCGGCGCATTCGACACGCTGACACAGGCCAGATACCGACAGTTCAACAAGCGTGTCGGCCGCACCATGAGGTGAATTTCTTTGTACAATATTTGTAGTAGGTACAGGGCTTTTCGTATTGTCCGCAACCTCCAATGCAGCTACATACACATGTGTAAACTTCACTCCTCAACTTCAATAGCGGTTTCTTTACTGCCATCAGAATGTATTCCACCAAATGTTCGGGCCTGGCCCATCATCATCAGGGTGACTACATCTCAGAGACCAGAGACCGTTTTTGGAGTTGGGGAGTGAATTCCATACAGGCACAGGGCTAGTTGGTTGTCGGGTACTGTAAGTCTACCAATATTCGGCGCATATTTATTTTCGGCTATTTTGGGCCGAAATTTTGTTGCGGCCGAAATTTTGTTTTGCAAGGTTCAGTGTGACAGTGTATACAGTCAACTTCGCGCTTATAACGACATTCAGCGGGGGCATCAATAAAGTGTCCTTATTCGCGAAGTGTCGTTATACCCGAAGTCTCATTATATGTATTACAGTTGGAAGGGACTTCGCTCTGGGCATGGAAATGCTGTCGTTATTCGCGAATTGTTGTTATATCCGCAGCAGTCGTTATTAGCCAAGTTGACTGTACAGGCGGCAGCAACACAGGCCGAAAATTTAATGCGGCCGAAATGTGTTTTAGCCCTGGGAGGCCGAAATTTGAATGGGCCGAAATGTTTTAGACTTACAGTATTAAGAAGAGAATCTGCACCGAGAATATGCTCTCCGGGGACCACGGCCAGTACTAACGATGGGAACCCCCTTGCTCTTTTCAGAGAATCTGCCCCGAGAATATGCTCTCCGGGGACCACGGCCAGTACTAACGATGGGAACCCCCTTGCTCTTTTCAATGAAATGATTACGATACGGTTGCAGCTTTGAGCAGCCGGCTCTGGTGCGTTGAACAATAACAGGATGTCAGTCCTCCTCAATGAAATCCAGTCACGTCACTCAAGTACACGCCGGGCGTTGCGCACCCCTCGGCCTGCGGACGCTGAACTGCGAAATGGTGAAAGGTGCACGCTTGAGTGACGCGCCTGGATTTCATTGAGCAGCACTGTGTGCGCCCGTGCCTGCCTCGTGTGTGTGTGTGTGTGTGTGTGTGTGTGTGTGTGTGTGTGTGTGTGTGTGTGTGTATGTGTGTGTGTATGTGTGTATGTATGTGTGTATGTGTGTGTGTGTGTGTGTGTGTGTGTGTGTGTGTGTGTGTGTTCAGGCTTATGGTGCAGTTTGTTGCGGACCACTGGATGGCGTACGTGGACTATCGCCGTGACGTCTGCAAGCAGGGCTGGACGGATATGCCCAGCCAGGAGCGTGCGTACTGCATGCCCCGGCACACGCTGCAGCAGCTGCAGCTCGAGTTCGACGAGTTCTTCTGCCGCGCGCTGCTCTGCATCCTGGCAACGCAGAAGTAAGGCTAGCGTACGGATGTGTGTATTGTTGGCTTCTGGGCATTGGAAATAGGACCAGCTGTACTGTGCATAACACTTAGTAGTAGGAGGACAAACTTCGGGCTCTTCAACAACATTCTGAAACGGTTTTCACAAGTAAACTTTCGTGCCTTCTCTTCAGGTGATGTACAGGCAAGAGCAAACGAGAGCAAGAATGCTGTTGAAGAGCATGCAGTTTGTCCTACTGCTAAGTGTTATAGCTTTGTTTTTGTCTCCGAGGAAACATTTTGTAATGTGTGCCTTGTTGGTTTCCGGGCATTGGAAATAGGACTAGCTGCAGTAGTGTGTATACCTTGTTGGTTTTTGGGCGCTGACGATCGCGCAATGGCTTTCCCGTACGCGCCTGGAAGTATGAATCGACCTTTAGACGCTTCTAATTGTCCATCAAGCAAAGAATGTTCTTTGTAAAAAGAAAAAAAGAAAACAAGTAAGGCATGGTTCTTACTCTGATTGTGTGTTCTGGCATGATTGGCTTGCCCTGTGCAGGATGAACAGGTGGCAGGTGATCTCCGGAATGCCGTACGCATGCCTATCGCCAGGTATGCTCTGGCATATCTTCTGGTTACTACACAGCTCCCCACTGCTGTGGCCCCATCAAGCCACCACGGGACACGATGCTGCTGCGGGGGATTTCAGCCAGGCGGCGCACAATGTTGGGATCAATGGTGACAACTGGCGTAGCTTTCTGTTTGGTAAGTCTCTCTTGCTTGCTCTTTTCCTTCTTGTGTCGCTGTTCTGTTTGAGTTTGTTTTACTGCTGCTTTTGCTGCTGCTGCTGTCGCTTCTGCTGCTGCTATACTCAATCCAATCCGTTGTGAAGTACTTTGAAGTAGATCGCGTGGTCTTCTTTAAGTCAATTTCCTATGCTGTGCCACAAGTTTCCATGCTAGGCTGATAAAATTGTACCTTTTGAGATTGAGTAGTCTGGTGTATTTGAATAGGATACATTGCATTTTGACTGGCGTCTCAGCAGATAGGCGTGCAGTGCGCGCCAGGGAAACTGTTATCATCAACTTATGTACCGTATTTCCCCGAATGTAGGCCGCACTTGATTATAAGTTGCAACCCATGTTCAGGTCTGAACCAAATTGTATCAATACATTCACATAAGTAGGGAGTCGCACTCGATTGCCTTCTTTGCTCTTGAAGTCAGTTTTGTGTAAAAGGTTCGACTTGCATTCGGGCCGGGGAAATGTGGTATACTTGTCATCTTGGGGTTTCTCTGCAGAACCTGGCCATCGCCAGCAGTTTGTCGATGGGCTAGCGGTGGTGAATCCTGGAGAAGCCATCTTCCTCCTCACCACGTTTGCCAACATGGCACGCGGCTGCCAGAGCGATGTGCGCTTTGTCGAAGCTGTCGTCCTGGATATCTTCGAGGTACGAGTATCGATTGTCAGCAGTGGATGCATTGGAGATGTTGTACCTTAGGCATTGATTTTGTGTGTACACACTCACGTAAATAAAGCCTCCGGGTATTCACTGTGTGTATGAGCAGTGGACGTCGGGGTATATGCTGTGTGAGCAGTGAAAGTTTGGGTATTGAGCGCTGTGTGAGCAGTGCAAGTTTGGGTATTGAGCGCTGTGTGAGCAGTGAAAGTTTGGGTATTGAGCACTGTGTATGTGCAGTACAATACAGGTCCGGATATTTTTTTTAAGCACCGTGCGAGCAGTGGAAGTACGGGTATTAACTTTTCAGCACTGTGTGAGCAGTGCAAGTTTGGGTATTGAGCGCTGTGTGAGCAGTGCAAGTTTGGGTATTGAGCGCTGTGTGAGCAGTGCAAGTTTGGGTATTGAACGCTGTGTGAGCAGTGCAAGTTTGGGTATTGAGCGCTGTGTGAGCAGTGCAAGTTTGGGTATTGAGCGCTGTGTGAGCAGTGCAAGTTTGGGTTTTGAGCGCTGTGTGAGCAGTGCAAGTTTGGGTATTGAGCGCTGTGTGAGCAGTGCAAGTTTGGGTATTGAGCGCTGTGTGAGCAGTGCAAGTTTGGGTTTTGAGCGCTGTGTGAGCAGTGCAAGTTTGGTTATTGAGCACCATGTGACTGAGCAGTGGAAATCACGTACTGTATACATTGATTTAACCCATAATACGCTTGTACCATTGCCTTGTGTAAATGAGTTGTTATCTCTTGCTTCTAGGTACCTTTTTTCTTCTTCTTTTTTTGGTGCATTTATGTCCCCATGACGCCGAGGCCTCAGGTCGACTGAGGGCAAAACGCCTCACCATCACTATGCTCCCACTATGCAATTTTTTATCTTTGCCTGTGAGCTGTGATCATTGTAAAAAAAATTTTTTAAACCTCAGGGCCATTACCTATTGTTGCTGATGCGGCCAGATGATTTCTTGTTGACGTGATATTGATACTCTCATTTTGTTGCAATCACTGCCTATCCATGCCGGTTCCTTTTTCTTCTCCTCCCCTTCTCCCTTCCTTGCCGTGGTTGGCTAACACCCTCTCTCTTTGCATTGGCCGGTGTTCTCACTGTGCTATGAGATGCTGTAATAAATAAATAAATAAATACTGAAGTACATGTGTATGCTGTATGTGTTTCCCTTGGCAGCTTGGCTATCTCACTCCGCAGCTTGTCGACTTCCTGAGCCGTGCGGGACGTGACCTGTTCAACTCGATCAGCGCCGTCCACCCGTTCGTCATCTCCATCCTGCTGCAGCGTGTTCAGCAGAGTATCGAGGCTGTATCCTCGGTAAGAACAGCACTGTCGACCATAGAGGGTACCCTGATTAGTGATTACACATTAGGGTACATGTACCTCAACTGAAACTTTCAAAATAATCAGTTGACTGTTTTCACTTTTCACCCTGACGATTGGACATGCCCGAAAATTTGATGAATACAGTTTTTTATTACCTGGTTTGAGGATTTTAATTATGGTAAAAAAAAGGAGAAGGACAAAATGTTGCGAGTTATAACTAACTGTCCACCAACATAACCAGATCATATACAGTCAGCGAGTGCTCTTTTTTATCGTAATTAAATTGGCTCACCATTCGAGTACAATTTTTATTTATTTTTTTTATTTTTTTCCAGTGGCGTATGCAGCAAAGAGACTGTATTTTGAACACGTTTGAGTTGACGTACCCTAATGTATAATACGTGGCTGCACTGAAGTCTGCGAGTGGTTAGAAAAGATACCAGGCTGATTCATAGACCTAGGACCGGTTCTCCATATAGAGGTTTTGCTATTGCATCATCAGTTGCGGTACTGTCGTGGACATGGAAATCCAGTCGCTTGACCGGGGTCGGCGCCCTCAGCGCGTACAGAACAGCACTTGATCCGATGCAGCCAGCGCGCTGCAGCATGACTTTGTGTGTACTGCTTACCCACGGCCGCATGGCCAGCGTCCTGGGGCCGCTAGACGTGCGACCGGATTTCCGTATCCACGACAGTACTTTGGCAAAGTGGCGGCATGCACAGCAATGGACTAGCTCAAGAGAAACCATGGTATCCACCGATTCACTGTGTATACTTAGTTCCCATAAGCGGTTCCGCTGACTCGTGCTGTAACACTTAGCTGTTAACCGGCTACAGTATAACATGCAAGACTGCAATATGGAAATCCTTGTTTTTTATGACATAATACTCATAAAAAGGACACACTTCAGGCTCATTACAAACATCTTGAAAGTTTTTGTCTTCACAAGTATACTTTCAAGCCTTCTCATCAGGTGAAATACAGGCAAGGGAAAAGGAACAGGAACAGTGGATTAAATACAGTAAGAAGGTAGTAAAACAGCGCAAAAAAGAAAGAAAGAAAGAAGATAGCTAAAGTAAACATTCTATTCTTTTTTTTGCAAATATTTAATGATGATGTAATTGCTGTAGGAAGGCCAATCAACTTTCTATGGGGCGCCGTTTTGATTTGAGCTCTCCGCCGGTGTGTTGTGGCTGTTTGTTTGTGTGTTCTGCGTTGCACAGCACGCCATGGTCCTGTTCAACACGCTGCCCATGGAGAAGTGGGTGCCGATCGAGGCCGACATTCAGCTGCTGCAGGACTGGCTGCTGGGCCACCACCCGGATACTGTTCAGTGCCAGCTGGCACGGCGCACGCTGGCACAGATCAACTGGTGTATCGTCACGACGGTGAGGGACATAGACATGCACAGTTTTGCTGCTGCTCGATGAAATCCAGTCGAGTCACTCAAGTAGGCGCCGGGCGTTGCGCAGCCCTAGACCTGCAAACACTGGGCTGTGAAATGATGCAAGGCGTACACTTGAGTGACACGACTGGATTTCATTGGGAGACTCTGCAGATCGTAATAACTATGGTCTTCTTGAAGTCGAATGTCCTGTGCTGTGCCACGTTCTCCATGCTAGGCTGAGCGCCTGGCCATAGAACTGTACCATTTAATGCAGTGAAACGTCAGTACTGCTATGCACCCTGAGTGCTCTGAATTTCAGCTAGAGCATCTGATGCAGTGGTGGATAGTACCGACAAGCAGCCGTTTGAGCGTAGTAGTCTCTCAGAAGCCTCTCGTACGGGCAATCACAAAGGATGATATCACTGGCCAACAGCTATTGAAAGAGCCAGTAATAATAAGTAATAACATGAAAAACACAAGCGTCACGATTGAGAAGTCATAACTATTCCATGACCACCGCTTTACCATTGAAGTAACATGATTCGAGGAGTTTCAAGAGACTATCACCGGAGTAAGCCGTCTCGTGTGGCAATTCTTAGGCTGGGGCAATAATACTAGTGTACATGTGACAGAAGAACTATGTAGAAATTTGTTTGTTTATTTGTTTGTGAAGCCAAGACAGATGATGTCTTTGTCCTGCATGATGTGCATGGCCGTTGTTTCCTGTTCTGTTTTTTTTCTCTCTCTCCTGTGCACAGGGTGACAATGAGCGGCTTGCAGTGCCCCTTGCACTTCATCATCGCGTGTCAGTGCTGATAGTCGAGGCCCTGTCTCAGTGGTCAAGTGTGGCCGACGGCAAAACAGTGATGGCGGTTAGTGACTCCGCTGTGTGCTATTCTTGTCAGCTTGTTTCTCGCGCTGTATGTCCAGACTTCTTACAGGAGATCTATGACCATTTTCACCTTTGGTCATAGTTGCTGAGTGCCCTATTTCCCCGATTATAAGTCACACTCGATTATAAGTCGCATTTTCAGGTTTGAGCGATATTGATTTGATATATTGACTTCAGTAGCAAGTCATGCTTGATTGTAAGTCGCACCCCGGTTTTTTTACCCTTGAATTTTAGTGTAAAAAGGTGCGACTTATATTCGGGAAAGTACGGTAACCTTTACATCTGCTCTGCTCTGTCCAGTGTTGATGGTGAAGCTGCATGTCTGTACGTGGCAGCATGACCACCAGATTGCTGCCTTTGTCTTATCAGATGTCACTATGACGTTAGCTCTTTTTCTCATGCTGTTCGTGTGTATGTGTGTGTGTTTCTCTGTGTGTGTTTCTCTGTGTGTGTTTCTGTGTGTGTGTGTGTGTGTGTGTATGTGTGTGTGTGTGTGTGTGTGTGTGTGTGTGTGTGTGCGTGTGTGCGTGTGTGCGTGCGTGTGTGCGTGCGTGTGTGCGCGTGTCTGTCTGCTCTTTGCCTGTGTGCTGGTGTGCAGCCGAGTCAGTTCAACTTCCAGCAGTCGCTGTCCCACGTGCAGCAGTCGCACTTGACCAACTGGGCGTGGTGCGTCATCCTGGGCCTGCGACTGCATGCTGACGAGAGACCCAGAGACACGGCACCCCAGACACCGTCCGCCGATGGGGCAGCGGCGGCGGCAGTCACGTTGGAAGCCAGTGACATGTGCCGCTGGATACGCACGGAGGACGTTCCGGCGCTGAAGACGAGCCCCGAGTTTGTCGTCGTGCAGCGGCTGTTGTCCGTGTCCCGGCTGGCTGTGTATGTCGCACTGTCCGCCTGTGATATTGGTCACAAGTAAGTACTGCCTTTGATCCTTTGATCCTGGAGGGTGATGGCATTCCTATGGATGCGGTAAGCTCAGTGTAACAACATCTTCCAATAAACAAAATCACAGTCACCACTTCCGCTGCATAGCTTGCTGGGCATCCCATTGCTTTGTAACTTGCTAATCCCTAACCCTTTTGTGCAGGGGCGTAGCATCTGGTCCGGCCGGTCTGGCTTTGGCCGGATCACTTTTTCGCCCAGAAGTGCCCAGAATGCAGGATTTTGCACCCAAATTTCAAAAATTTCCCGGGGGACACCCCCAGACTCACTCCAACCGGACCACTTCCAACGGCAGTGCTACGCGCCTGTTGTGTATGTGCTTTTCTCAATTCGATTGACTGTCTTGACATGCTACGAGGTGCAAAAATAAATAAATAAGATAACTGAGTAGAACACGGACTGTGACATATTTAAATTGTTTTAAAGTACAGTGTGAGCACAGCGTAGCCTCCATTGCTGTAGATGACATCTCTCAAAGATACAAGCCTTCACCTTGCTGTGATTGGAGCGGTTTGAGTTTGTTGATTTCAGTGCGTTTCTTGTCCTTGACGCTTCGGCAAATGTAATGGATGTGTTGATTTCTGGACACGAGTCGCACCTCCGTTGCAAGGTCAAGTGACCCTTTCCTGTGCTCTCCGTACTTGAGAAGTTCTCTTGTATTTGACTTCAGTAGCCGATGTTGCTGTGTAAGTGTAGTCGTGACTAAAACGTGCAACGACACGAAGGTCAAAATGTTACGAGTCAGGCAAACGCTCCACCAATGTAGCCAGCTCTTATACAGTCATTGTCAGGTAGTAACAACAAGGCGCAAAGCTGGCAGGGGTACCGAGACATTCAACGATTTGACACCTAGCTCCAACACATCCACCATTATTTTGTCCCTCTTATCCATGGATGCACTAGGCTGACCATCCCCGGCTCGAAACAAAGTTTCTTTCTAATATATCCATCAGCATGGTACCATTGGCGTTTTGTTATTGCACTGCATGGCGCTCGTTGACTAGGTTTGTTGGAGTCTGATGCGCGTGGAGTCGTTGATCTTGTTCTTGTTGGGCTCCTCTGCGTTGAAGATTGTTATTTCTAATGTGCCACCACAGACGTATTGTATCCGAATTTTGAAACTGATTCTCGCTTCTTCGTCTTTGTGTGTGTGTGTGTGTGTGTGTGTGTGTGTGTGTGTGTGTGTGTGTGTGTGTGTGTGTGTGTGTGTGTGTGTGTGTGTGTGTGTGGTGTGTGTGTGTGTGTGTGTGTGTGTGTATTGTGCCTGTGCGTGTGTGTGTGTATATGTATTGTGCCTGTGTGTGTGTGTGTGTGTGTGTGTGTGTGTGCCTGCGTATTCCATTCCAGTCCTGATTTGTTCCTGGAGAGTGGCATGGCTATGTTGGCGGAGTTGAGTCACTCTCCGGACGGCGCACGGCCTTGCATCCGCGTTCTCTCCAACTGCCTGCCGATGTTCTTCCTGGAGCCCGAGAGGCTCATTGCGCATCCTCTGTGAGTGCTGTGGAAGGCTCTTTTTTATATCTCCAACCGTTGCTTTGTATGGTTACTTGTCCACTGGGGTCAGTGTATAGGGGGACTAGCTCCCATGGTTGCCCATCCTCTGGGAGTGCCGTGTAAATCTCATTCCATCTCCAATCGTTGCCTAGAATGTGTATGTTGCGACTTGTCCATTGAGATCAGGGTGCAGAAGACTAGCTCCCATGGCTGCCCATCCTCTGTGAGTGCTGTGGAAAGCTCATTTCATCTCCAACAGTTGTTTTTGAAGGTGTATGTTGCAACTTGTCCACTGGCATCAGTGTGCAGGGGGACTAGCTCACATGGTAGAGCGCTCGCTTAGCATGCGAGAGGTACCGGGATCGATACCCGGGTTCTCCAGGCGATCTTTTTTTTCTTCATCTTTTTCATTCGGTCTTTGGGGTTTCTTTCTTGCCATTTGAATCATATGCATACATAGATGTAGTGAATGGGGTTTTTCAGTCTTTGACCACTTTGGTGGTGGGTCTGATCTACTCACCTCCCACCACTTTGACCCTTTTGTCATATTCCAAGATTCGTTTAGATTCTCGCTCTCCACCAACGAGAAGACTGCGTGACTGTTTTTTATGCCAGTGACCAAGTGCAAGTAGTCTGGTTCCAGCCGGGACAATCATGTCATTTTTGCTGTGTATTTTCATGGTTGTGTGTTCACCCAGGCTTGAGCCATTGCTGATGTCACTGTTGCAAGATCGTGTTCCGCTGGCCGAGCAATACATGTATCTCTTCTGGTCATCACCGTCCGTTAGCGACACCATCAAGCAGATGAAAGCCATGGTGCAGGTTGGTACATCGTGTGTGTGTGTGTGTGTGTGTGTGTGCGTGTGCGTGTGTATGTGTATGTGTGGTGATAGTCAATTGTTTCTTCAGACCCTTTTGAACTCCCTCAATTCATGAACACGTATAGTCCCTTGCTGTTCTGTTTAAGGTGGTCGCGTTCCTATCTGTCTTCCATGCCTTGATATTATGCATTCTATGTGTGTCTTATTGTGGACAGATGCATATTCGTAAAGCATCGGAGGCTGGTATGGAGCAAGCAGCTCGTGTTACGTCATTCTGGGTGCAAGTTCTTACTTCCCTGCCCAGCTGGCAAGAGTACGTACAGGATTATTGTTGTTATCGGTGCATTCCTGGAGAGGCCTGTTCTGCCTGTCTTTCTGTCTCTCTGTCTGTCTCTCTCTCTCTCTCTGTGTCTCTGGCACACACACGCACGCACGCGCGCGTGCACACACGTCTCACTCTTTCCATCTCCAGTTTTGCCAAGTTCAGTTTGAGAAAGTGGTGATTTCCCTGCCCATCTTATTAACGCAGCTATGGCAGTACCAGTGCACTACTGGTGGTATGAAGAAGATAGCAAGTGTTAGACTGTGCGTACTCAGGGTGCACCTCACTGAGCCACAGCACACCTGAAGATATTGTCAGTTGCCTGCAAGTGCTTTCGCAAGAAACTTCGAGTATCACCCAAGTTGTAGTATGTTCTTTCTGCAGATGTAGAACCACAGTGGAAGCACACTGTTCAGAGCGAAAATTGGCCGTTCTTCCTACAGTAAAACGTGTAACTAAAGACCACCGTGACTAACGACCAGCCTTGTACTACAGACCACTTTGCCAAGCACGGACGGTCTCACATTCATATTAGGCCACACGTTTTTATTTCTATGTTTCTCGTCACCCGCGCGCGCATACGATTCAGGAGTCTGGAAGAAAAAAAGAAAAAAACTGTGCTGCACTGACTGTGCATGTGGGGGCCAGCACACTCATGCACATGTACATAATGTGGCCTGGCCTGCGCGACACAGGATGCGAGGTCGGCTTTTTTGTGCGCAATCTAGCTGCACATGCACAGATTGTGACAGAAGCTCCTACCACATACTAGTTGCTAACGATGGATGCTATTTTGCATGGTGTATTGGTGGATTTTAGTGTGAACAAAGGTCTAATAAACTTCTGTTATTTTTCGGTCATTTTTTATTTTTTTCCACCTCTCGCATACGTTTTTAGATTTTCAGGTGACGAGAAACATAGAAATAAAAACGTGTGGCCTTATGGTTGTGCGGTGCAAACCTCTAACTAAAGACCACCTGCCACTAAAGACCGCTTTTGCTGGCACCAAGGGGTGGTCGTTAGTCA